TTCGAGAGGAAGACAATCAGCTTCCCCGGATCGGTTCTCTACTCCCTGTATCCCATCTGGTGTAGTCCAGGCTCCCGGCGCAGTGCAGTAAGTCCAAGGCGCTGTGAGACGGATGCAAGTCGGGTCCGTCGTGGCTCCCAGATGGGTGCAGGGTGTGGAGGACTGGTTCGGAGGCATCGGTCGTCTTCCTCTCGAGTCCAGATCCATCAAGAGGAAACGGGACTGACTCAGTAAGTCCAGTTACATCTCAAGTTAGATCTCAATTTAACTTCACCCTCTTAATTCAAATAATTGTTTGGCAGAGTCGGACTTAGACTTTGGAAATCGAAGGGAATTTTGTTTTCCTTTGATTTTCATCGTTTCGTACTTAGTATTAAGCTCGTTGACTTTATGTAGAGTATGCATCTACGTATGTATACTGTATGTAGAGGGAGATCGAAGGAACTTTGATTCCTTCTATCTCCGGGTCTCTAGTCGCAGCAACCTCCACGTGGTGAGACCTGGTAATCGGTATTATTCGTGACGAACAATCCTTCGTCGCGAGTAATAGCGAGCTAATGGCTGCGTACTTGTAAAAAGATCTTTAGATATAAAAAGTGCAAATGTAAAGTGCAAAAATGCACAGTGCAAAAGTATAAAGTGTAAAGTGTAAAGTGCAAAAGTGCAAAAGTGTAAGATTCTGTACGATTCAGTATGATGATGCATTCATAGTCAAAGTCATTTTATTCATATTTTCATTAATCTATTTCTATCCCATGGACTGATAATATCTAAATATATTAATTACTAGCTGCGCCCCGGGGTTTCACCCTCGTGGAATACTATTCTTATTCTACATATATTATCGATTATAACAACACGTTCGTGATTGGATTGTCCATTCACATAGGTGCAATTATTATTATAGTGTTTATGCAAGTATGTAGTTAGCTACTTGGTAACAGTTGAACGCATTTAACTGGTTGAACGGTAGAGATACATTTTTAAATGTAAATGTTAATGACGAATTCGGTGGTCCGATGAATGATCTATTCATTAATTCATTTCTCTGTGAGTTATTTCCACTTTTCATTATTTCCTAAACTATGCGACCAAATACCATGCTGTACAGGGCAAATTTTATCTTTCAGATTTCACATTGAAATCATATTTTTATCAAAATAAAACGTAGCCTAACGTAGCTTTCTATTATTAAAAAAATGTTTAAAATCGGTTCAGCTGTTCCGAAGATTATCCCCTACATACATACAAACAAGCAAACAAACTTTACCTTTTTATAATATTAATATAGATTATCGTACACCCAGACCATATTACACGAGGGTTAATCGAGCCTTTTGACCCAAACTTTGTACTAAAGGAATTTCAAATTTATACAAAAAAGATATTTAAGAAACTCATATGCGCTTTAATTAATTGTGCCATGATAGTAATAATAGTATCTGTAGAAAACAGAATAATATTACTATCTTTCGACACGGATCTATAGCTGAATTCATTAGTAAGGTTTATTTAGTAGATCTTTCCTCAGATAAGATGCTGCTAATCGCTTGGAGAGTCTGTTCAAACTAATTATGTAGTGATAAACTACCGATTAATTGAGAACTGTTGGACCGATTAATAGCGTTACATCTAAGACAGGACCAAATGAGTCTCACCGACGTATTCATCTATCAGATCTAAAGAGTAAGTAACGTAGTAGTATTGTTCTATGTATAAAAGTATTACGTATTACTAGACTGCGGATATTTATGCATCTATAGAGAATATGTAAGGAACTAAGAAATCCACACAGTATCTAATAATATAAAAAGAAAACGAAGTTTATACTACAATATTTTCAGAGTAAAATAAATTCTAATTTAGGTTCAATTTTTATAAGCAAGTTTGCAAAGATTTTATTTTGCATTTACAATTTGCAATTTACTTATTACTCAAATAAGATATTTTCGTTGATACATCGGTTTCTTTTTAAACGAGTGGTATGTATATTAGCAAACTTTTAAACTAAATGTAAATTTCGAATAAAATACACATACATATATAACAACACTACTTTTTATTGGTAGTTCAGTAATAGTATTTTTTCGATACACAGAGCAATATAATTATGTAAGGCTTACGAAGCAGATCTCGTTTTAGATAAAACGCTACTAATCGTTTACGTAGTGCCTAAATTAATTATGTTCTGATAAGATTTAAATCTGATTGAAATCTTTTGGTTTCATCATATTTGGAACCAAATAGAGTAACGTGCATTAGACAATTTAATTAATATGTCAAAAATAATTTAAATGATTTAAAAAGCACTGATGTAAAATATTCAATAAAATTACATCAATAAAGAATTCTAACAAGGGTCCAAATACAATATTGGAACGTAAGGATTATTTGACTTAATTGTCTACTTGAATTGACTACCAGCTCATGCAACATGAATGTATGCACGAGTATAGACCGCAATCCGTCGTTTAATTTTTTAAATTAATTATTAATAATTACTACGAAGCATGCAACATAGACCCGAATCATTCATCGTGTCCATCAACTTTCCGTCTTATATTTATTGCTTCTGGAATTCCCAAGGCACGATCCTGCCGTTCGTGAGAATTATTCGTAAATTCTTACCATATTACGACGTTAAGTCCTTCTATAATCGATAATCCGAGGTGCACGCAAGTTAAGTACTACTAGTTGACGTGTTATCAACATCACGCCGGGGTCTAATTGCAGATCTACATGCCTTCGAACCCTTCTCTTTCACCCGTCACGAGACCTATCTCTGTGAAAAATTTATAGCACGCTGGAGAAAGGTTAGCCACGGCTGTTAGACAGAGTCAGTCCCGCGCGAAGGATTGCAAAAGATACAGGACGGCCTTTTACAAACGACGCAAAAACTTTTCTCGCGGACTGCTCCCAATTAGCGAATTAATGACTGTATGGCTGATGCGATCGCACCCATGAAAGCATGGGAAAATTTAGAGAAAACTGAGAGTGGAAATAAATTACAATAATCGTATCGCGAGTTTGCCGATATTTTTAGAAGAAACGAGCGTCGATCTTGTGAGCCACTTCTGGTGTTGAAAATGAAGAGAAATTTGCACTTAGACGTTTTCGACCTTAACGATCATTCTCACGAAGACACGAATAAGAAGATTTTCATAATTTGTGTACTTGCTTCCGAGGTAGATAACAGACAACCAGGAATAGAATTTGAAATGACGTGAATTCAAGTCAGCGATTGCGAATGTATTAAACAAAAAAATTAACCGAGAGGAGTTTTTCTATATAAAATTTTGGCTTGGATTTTACTAAAATGATTCACTTTACTTTGTGGTTAACTATCTTTTTCATCGTAAATGTTGAATATCATAGTGGCTAAATATTTTTCAATTATAAATATTAATTTGAAATATTCAATTATAGAATAAATTTCTCTTGGATTTTTCTACGATGATTCTCTCTGCTTTGAGTTTAACTAATTTTTTCACCATACATGTTGAATATCATAGTAGCTAAATATTTTTTAATTGGAAACATTAAAATATGCCCCTATAAAATAAAAAGAAAGAAACCATAACAGCACACGACCAGATATAAAAGTTACTCTTCTACATTTAATTTAAAAAACGTTTTTTGTCCCAAATCGAACCATAAGCGCCCGAATCTCGCGCACATTCGCAGTGTTCGAATCGAGCCACGAATTACGCAAGTGATTCTGATTTAGCAGGAAGTCTTACCCGAATGGTATGCACAATCGTATCTGTTATCTGGTTTCCCGAATACGGAATCGGTAATGACGCATAATCTCATCGTCGGAATCGGTCGCTTTGAAACTTTCAACGATACTCGTGTGCTTACCTCCATCGAACGTCATAATAAGACTATCAACCTCGGCTCCAAGCATGTTGCATCATTACTATTTACCTGGGGACATTTAGAAATCAATCATCGACGAGGAAATCGCGTCGGTTGATTTACGAGGATTGGGGATAATGTTGTAGTCGAACTATACTTCCTTATTTGAGTCTTTGATGCACGAACCTGGCAGCTTTCAGTGATACAGTCGGAGACGGTAGAAATTTAATTACGTCTAAGCAAGGTTTGCTTAGATAATTATACTAACAAGTTGATTAGCATTACCTGTATGAAACTACAATTTTTATTTTGCCATTCGATTTTATTTTCGTTTTAAACTGTGGAATTATTATTAAGTATTAGAATTTGCCGCTATTTAATAAAAAAAAAAAAAAACACATGACTTGATATAATTACTTGATGTGATAATTACCGATATGATTACTTTTCCATATTTAATTTTAAAATGTTTTTTGTCCTGTATCGAACCGTAAGCGCTCCAATCTCGTTAATTAGTGACAAGGAATTTTACAATTTCAATTTCATAAAGTTCTGTGTGTAATATAATGAACAATTTACATGTTTATATAGAACTAATTAATTAATTACGTGGAATTATTTAATTAATGATAAGGAAGATAATTATGAAGATCTAATTACGTCAGGTCCTGTGTATATTATAATATGTAAAAAATATATAAATATGTCCAAGTTACAATGGTAAATGTTGCGTAATTGCAATTGATTATTAACTAATTATATTTCGTGAGAATTAGTTCTCCGAAAAGTTTAGAAGTAATATGAAATCAGAGAATTCATTGATTCTTTGATCTAACGAAATGTTCATTGATCGCAAAATAAGTTCCTAATGTACCCAAATGTATTCTAATATATAAACATGCATCTTTATTAATAATCAATAAATATATTGAAGCTACAACTTTCCTCCTAGAATTTTGCACAATAGGGTCGAGATGTATCGTCCTCCAATATATAAAATGCTTCCACAGTCGTTATTCCACGAATTTTTATTCATTTATGAACAACAGTAATTTCTGATGCTGTATCATTAATTCCATTAATGAATTACCAGCAATCAATTAATTCTGATAAAAGTTAATCATGTTTGTTATTATACTCACTTGAAGTATGAGCGTTTTAAGCTCTTGATCACTGAGGAATGCTGGCTTATAGTGACCTTCCGTATATGAGGTAACGGCACCCAGGATGGTCTTCAAGTGTTGCACCGCCATTCTCAATACGGTCAACTTATCGAGTTTGCGAGACATCGCGTGGCACATCGGTATCATCGCTGAAAGCTCTGTGATGTAAGTGTTCATCTTGTCTCTCCTTCTCTTTTCGATCTCACTATGATTCTGTCTGCAACACATTGCGAAGAAGAAAATGTTAACGTAATTTTAAGCCCTATCTCAGGATGGGCCAGCAGACTCATTGGTCTGGGCTTCACGTTCCAGAAGGCCTCTTTTCATGAACGAGAAAAACAATTAATTTTTACGCTATGAATTAATTTTTACGCTATGAACTAATTTAAAAAAAAATAAAAATTAATCATGAATTAATTTTTAAGGTTGATTTATAATAAGTGAAATTTTTGGTACAGAGAGTAATACAACTGTTGCATTTTGAATTAAAATATTTTACGAAATTTATAATGGTGGTTGTATACATTGACCATATTATTCAGAAAATATTAATAATATTGATATGTACAACACTGTGATGTGGCTTATTAATTTTCATATAAATTAGAACAATGCAATTGAATAAATATCTTCAGATCAAAGTTAAGAAACAAAAAGGGGGATAGGGATTGTATTAATAATGATAAAATAGCGAAAATTACACAAATATATCTTATGATATATATTTCATATTTTTTAGAAATAAAAGTTAAATAAAAGTAAGATATAGTCCACATATAAAAAAATGCAATTTGCACAATTCAGAACCAAAATTAGGTTTTAAAAAATGACGTGTAGTTCAAGTAGTTTTGTTCAAGAAGTACTTGTAATTGAAGCGTTGTAGGATTTGTCTAAAAGATTCACATTCTCGTTTCATACACAGTATCATATATTTAACCAGGTTTGTCTTCCACGTTTTCGTGCACCTTGCGTAATTTTCTTACTATTTTGAAATTTTTTTATGAAGATAACAAATAGAATAAATACAAAAAGTTGCAAATCACGCGACTTACTTAAAAAAAAAATTCTATATGTTTTAAACAAATTCCAAAACAGAAATCAATGACTTAAACCCTTCTCAAATTTACATGAATTACATCATATTCCGGTTTTACAAAAATTCCTGTTATCCAGAGCAAAACGATATTGATTTTGAGTGAAATGAACCAACCATATTTAATAAAGTCGGCGAGTGCAGATAATCATAGCGAGAACGTAGGCAGGAAATAATTACCACAGAACCTCAAATTAATACGATATTAAAATTACGTTAACGCGCGGATGTTGGCACGCGCTTACTTATTTGCAAGGATAGCTGTGTATTTCTCAAATTAATAAGGCGACGCGCGACCCGCTTGTAAACCGAAACCAGCCTCTCTCTGCGGCGATTTCCGCCGTCCAATATCATGGCTCCAGGCGATGAATGCGAATTCTCGGTAGGCAAATCAACGACGTTCCACGCACAAAAGCGTCACTTATTAACTGAATCGCCGTTTATAATTAATTCACGACGACGCTGGATGTCGCGTCGCTGAAGAACCTGACTGAAGATGCTGAAGATAAAATGAGAGCGTGAATTTTAAACGCAGCAACAATGTTTCAATTGCAGGTACTTCTCGAACAAATCTGTTCTTTTATTCTTATTCAAACTAAATTTGGTCGGGTAAAATGAATATAGAAGGATTTTTTAAATGTATTCATCCAAAAATGACTTAAACTGAAATACTTTATATAATGTTTCAATTACATGTGCTTGTTGAATAAAACTATTTCTTTTATTCTTACAGGCACTTACTTTGCTTTGGAAAACTGAATGTAGGATTTTTATAATTTACTTGAGAAAATAGAAGACGAGAGAATGCGAACATTGGAACATCTTACAATTTTTCAATTACAGGTACTTAATGAATAAAATAATTTCTTTATTTCTATGGAAACTAAATTTTGGTCTAAAAAAATGGATATAGAAGAATTTTTTACATTTATTTATCAAAAAGAGACAAAAACACAAACGTCGACACATTTTACAATGCTACAATTAGAGGTGCACGTTGAGCTAAACTATTTTTTATTTTTATTTAAACTAAATGTAGCCAAAGAAAAAAAAGCAGAAGGATTTTTTAAATTTATTTAGGAAGACCCAACACTCCTCAAACATTTTTATATTTACATTTTTCTCATCTTCTCCCATATTTTCTAGATTTATGCGTGCTATATACGACACAATTATAAATTTCGTGAATTGTTCTAATACAGAATATAGTAGGTGTCACATAATTGAATAATTGTATAGGGAACGACTGATTTAATAATCTAATAAAGTTTTCTCACAATTTGATAATAAATAAGTGTTGCCAGATGGAATTTATAATATATCGATTTAAAGCTAGCCAAATATGTCACAATATAATTATTTTAACATAGAATAATAGATATAATAGATTTGGACGTAAAAATAGAAGAATAAATCAAAATCAAATTCGAGTGTCTATGTTTCTCGTGCAAATTTAAATTCAGTTGTGACTCAGTTCATAATGGTAACACAATTCTTAAAAGATAACGAATAAATAAACAATCCATAGATCCATTCAATAATTTTAATTAGGAAGCAATCTTCTCAAAAGTCAAACTAATCAATGAATTACTATCTTGCATCCATGAAAGATAACAAGTCAGATCACAATAGCGTAGGTATCTGTACAGAATATCTTCAGGATGTACTCTCAGTATGCGGTTAGTAGAGTAATCTTGTTTATAAATTGTATTCAGTATAATACATTGGTTTTCAAGATATGAAGTTGAACGTGCCGTCTTTTTTACGATCGTATCTTTATCACGCTACCACAGACTGGATTAGTGACGTCGCTGGTGAAGCCAGAAGAAAGAACTAAGGTAGGTCAAGGTGGCCTTACCTTGGCAATACCTGACATAATACTACACAACCGCTGACCAAGATTGAGGTTTAAAGCGTAATGCGGTTTCTTACTACGTCCAAACGAAATGTCCATCATTCTTAAACGACTTAGACATTATTTAAACTGAAGAGGCTGGTTAGAAACGTTTCGTTATTCGTTCATTCACAATGAGTCGCGAACGTCTACGAACACCTTATAGGTTGTAGTATCATGGACAACTCGACAATTTCGATAATCTGCGGATATTAATTATTTTATTTATTAAATACTAGCTGCGATCTAGTTTCACCACGCGTGGAATAATATTTATTTTATGTCGTTTGTGTTCGACTAGCAATTTAACCACGTGAATGTGTTTTATTAATCGACTTCGAAAAAGTAAGAGGTTACTCAATTCGACATATACATATATTTTTGTTGTTGTTGTTGTTTGCATTCGACTGACAGTTCAACCACGTGAACCTTCGTGAAACAATCAGTGACTGTCTTTCGTTTTCCGTAACACAGATGTTTGAATCGATATTTCTGATTCTTTCCTTATTTTTATCAAAATAAAATATAGCTTACGTCCTTCCTCAGGACGCAATCTATCTCCTTGCCAAATTTTATCGAAATCTGTTTAGCGGTTTAGGCGTGAAAAGGTAACAAACAGACGGACAAATTTATGTTCGCATTTATAATGTTAGTAGTTAGTATGGACTGGAAAAATAATGATTAAAATTCTCCAGTGGAATAGTTGTCAATCTCTTCTGGCCATTCCCCCTTCCTCCTGGTTCAATCCTTTTATCATATTTTAGAGTTATTTTTTTACACGAAAACGTTACTATTATAGATGGAATATATTTATTGCTGAGAAAATGAAATATGTTCCTTGATTTTTATTTTAATCTATATTATTCTATAAAATTTATTGAATGTCACAGATTATCACTAAAACTACCGAGGTAAATACATACCTATTATGGATGCAGTTATGTATTTGTAAGGAGTAAATTAATTTGTCGATCAAATTGTTCCAGATGATTGCAATAAAAGCATTGTTAATAACTGAGTGACTTTAGGTAGATGTTTGAAATATACGAGTTAAATTGATCCATTTGGTAGTTCCAGTGTTAAATTGAAAACAAACGCGTAGATTATGTGTACAGAGACATTGTAATAGAGATCAGGTTGAGAATTCAGAAGGTACGTACTTTAATATACCAAATTATGGACAAGCATATCTGTTTAAACTAAAGTTGTAAACTACTGAATAAAGACACAGAATCAATTTCTACACCTAATATGTTAAAGTGCACAATTATCACATATACAACTGTTTTGTTGGTTCTGATTTATAAACTTAAACAATCCTTACTTTGAAACCGATGCAGTTTTTTTTTTTAACTATAAGCATTGTACTTACTTTTTACTGTCGTCGTTTGTGCGAACAGATTTGGCATCATCTCCCGTGTCGTCCAACAAGTCACTACCGTCGCTATAACAAAAAGCAATTTTAATTAATTTTTCAAAAAGCGTCGCGCAATATTAATAAAGGCTATAAATTGAGTACTTGTAACATATCCACTTATAACCACTCAGCTCTATTGGATCATTCTAGCTTGGACTTCTTGATAAATGATAAGCACCATTGGAATTTGTGTCAATCTCAACGTAGACATGTTATCATAAAATTATACGCAGACTGGGTAGTTTATTTGAGTCGGCATAGCAGGCTATAGATAATTACATCAATCTAAGTAACCGTTTGGTAAATCATAATCAGTATCCTGTGTTGCTCACATGTAATAAGCCTTACCTGTACATATTTGTTTTAAGGAGGCCCAACATGTGAAAGGAGGCGTAAAATAAGAGGTCATTTCAGAAATTCCTCATAAACTAACTAAACCATGGATTGCGTTCATACGTTGATTATGTTTTATTGAACTTAAATGTTTAATTTAAGTGGTTATTTAAAAATAAACAAATTTGTTTAAATATAAACAAAAACCAGTCTCATAATGTCATTAACGTTAACATTACTTTCTTAACATTTGACACAATATTCTTGAAATGTGTATCATTCAAGAAATGAAAAAATTTGACTTTTTAATCAATATTATAGTGTTATAACACTGTTCTACACTCAAGGCCGTAACTGTAGTAAATCCAAAAATTTCTATTTTAAAATTTAACATAACATTATTGAACTGTGTTCTTTCAAGAAATGAAACACAAATATACGTTTGCAAATAAATTGTTTAGTTTTGTGCTCCCTCAATTTTTGAAAATAAAAAGGAAAAAATTTCTTAATCTTGCAAAAATATGAGTATCTCTACAAGGCAATGCAAACAAACATACCATCACGATTTTTGCGAAACTATTAATTTCGTTAGAGAATATAATACATTTCGTTTGATTCGTTTACCTTGGGTAGAGAATATAATAACGGTAGAATAATTGAAGAAGACCTACTCGAGCCAAGAAACGTAAAAACATGGAGAAACCAGACGCGTACCACTGAAACAATTTCTTCTGCACCCTTGCAAAAGGGCGTTACCCCTTTGACGCGGAATTTCGCAAAGTTTTGCTCGAGTACAGCTTCGTCGCACTTACTGTCTTGCAAGTTTTAAGAGGCGCGCTTTAAATTTCTTATTTTCATAGAGAAACATTTTTATTTCGCGCTCGTTCGTTTCGTTCGATGGATGAATGAATTTTTCTCAATGTTACTACAAAACTAAACAATGTATATTTCATTGTATAGTATAGAAGAATATTTCCTTCTTCAAATGTATTTAAAAAAAATGCACATTTCATGTTGTATGCTTTGTTGAATGTGGTCCTTGTAATTATTAGATGTAGAAATTAATTCTGCGTTTTTTTATTCAATTACTTGTGACTAGTTATCTCTAAAAGTTTCAATATGATGGTCATTGCAATACATCTATACGAAGTTTAGTAGTTACTAAATTTTGCTTTTCGTTATTCTTCTACAATTATTATAATTATCACGCGCACTTGTAATCTGTTAGAAAGAAGAGTTATTTGTTAGATAAAAGAGATTTCTTATCAGATTTCTATTATTAAAATAATGCTTTAATAAGTGAAATCAATTTGCCAAAATTGAATACATGCGTGTCTTTTTATATGCATAAAAGTCATCATAAGTGGTTGCATGGGTCCAAATGACCATGTTCCAAAAACTTAATGTTAGGGAATTAAACAAATTAATTCCGAAGGTGAAATATTAACAAAAATAAATCTGAATACGATTCATGAATTTTCCGAAGTTACAAAATTAAATACTTGCTCAAATGGTAGATTATTTAATGTTCAATTGTCTCCAGATAAAATTGTATCCTTGTAGAAGTATTCACGAGTTCAAGTGTGACAACCAATGTGTTCATTCAGATTTACGTATATTCCTATACGTAGCGTGCATAAGCAGATAAACATTGCTGACATAAAAGAACATTTGTATAGATGACATCAAGCACGATGATAATTGAATAAATATCTTGAAAACTCGGATTCGTGTATAATTGGAATAGTTTACGAAGTAACGATTGTCATTATAATTTCGTTCTTGGTTCAAGCTTCACGGTTATGAGCTTGTTTTATCGCTCCTAAATTGGATAGACTCCGGTCAGAGGGTAGCGCGGTTACTAAAGGCAATTTCAACCAGCCACTTCCCCGGAGACGCAAATCTTCGGTTCTGTTAATGATTAAGTTGACCCTTTGAGCTGGTAACCGACACCTTGATTGGTAATTATTCGGAGTCGTGGCCGTTTAACGGGAAACGTCGCGAAACGCGTCGACGGGGTGCCAAGAGGGTGAGGCGGAAGCGGAAAGATGTTTGTAGATGGAAATGTCAGTCTTGAATACATTTGGGAGGCTTCGTTTCGACGTATTCTCTACGGGTACCGGGTTAATGTGTAATAGACCGATACCGTACGACTTCCACCTACACTCATACGCGGAAGTATTCGAACGCTTGTACCTCAAATTATAAGCAATTGAAATTCGTAGATTTGACTTGCATTTAAAAAACAGTACTGCAGCAACTAAAGGGTATGTGTTTGGAGAATGTATTGTAAAGTTAGAAGGAAAATATCGTTCGATTTCCACTCTACACTCACACACGGAAGTATTCGAACGCACAGTGGTTCGAATCGCCGAAAATATGAACTAAATGCGTCATGTTTATATCATCATGAAAATGGTAAAAAATTAGTACTTTTTGGGTAGCAGAATCGGAAAACATTATAAAAAATATCGTAAGAGTAAAAATGATAACATAAGATAGATATTCTCAAAGTTATAAAAACATTCCGTAAATTCTGTTCTGTAAAAAAAGAAAAAGGTATTCCGAAAAAGTACTCAATACTTGGACTCCTAATGAAGAATCCAGATCAATAACTCACTAAAGAAGATATTAATAATAAATATCCCCTGGAATACATTTCACACAATTCGTGTTTCATTAAAAAACCTTATTGAAACCTTTTGGATAACTATCTAGTCAGGATCACCCGAATTTGCTCAGTAAATGTTTTCGTCGAATTAACACAAATAAGTACACCGTGGTGTAAGATGTGCAGAACTTATTTGAAGAGAATCTTCGAGTCACCGTAAAGCCTGAGTAATGAAGAGTTTGGAAATTTATACATTTTATATATTTATAAGAAATATATGGAAAACTACTGTTATGGGAGAAATTCGTGTGTAAATTTGGAACAAGTGCAAAGGAAAGTAATGAAGAGTTTGGACTAAATAGGAACATATGTGAAAAGAATTAAGATCATTCGCGTTGGGTCAGTTCTTATTCAACTGCGTTTGATATAAAATCCCTAGTCTACTTATAAGTAGTCATTTTTATATATTTTTAACGATCAAAAAACAATAATGAACATCATTCGCGGAGAAATTGTTCTTTCTTAAGGTCGATTCAGACTATACGACACGGACCGTCACGTTCCGGCAACGACATGACAAAACATTAAAACACGCGTTTAAATGGAACTATTCACATTATTCCCATTGATGGAACGTTCAGGTCGGTTTCTGTTAAGTGTGATTAGTTCCATTAAAACGCGTGTTTTAATGTTTTGTCGTGTCGGTACCGGTACGTGTCGTTGCCGGTCCGTATCGTATAGTCTGAATCGACCTTTAGGCGGCAAGTTTAATACAACTTATTTCTAAAAGAGAAACGAAGAGAATACAAACAGAAAGAAGTGAAAGGGTTGAGTGTGGTACGATTTCGCTAATTTTCTCGTATCGATCAAGAGTAAACACCGCGAGAAATCGTTTGGTCGACTTACTGGCAGGAGAGCTTCCGCTTTCTGGAAACCGCGACGAATTCGTCGGAGGTATCGGTGGTGGTCGGCTCATGGCTGGGGGTGGAGGATGCGCTGCGTTGGTGATGATGACGATGATGATGGTGACGGTGGTAGTGATGGCCGGAGGCGGGTGCCTGGTCGGGGACCATAGTCGGGGGTGTCTCCATATGCTGGGGCGGTTCAGCCCCCGTTACGACCTGCGGGGTGGTGTCGGTGGTGGTGGTAATGGTGGTAACGCCGGTGGTACTGGGGGCGGCGGTGGTTGTGTTGTTGCTGTTGCTGGCGGGGGTTGGAGTCAGGCTGAGACCTTTGCCACCCCCCGCCGAGACGGCGGTTACTTCTCCCACCCCCGAGCCCGTACCTATGTCGCCGAAGTAAACCGTGGAACAGGAATTTCTGAAATCAGAACAACACATACGTCAATTCTTCATACGATGGATCCTTTCTCGAGATGAAGAAACGTGCGCACAGTAAATATTGAATTAGGGAGAACAGAAATCTGAGATTAACTGATTATTTTATCTATAAAACTAAATATTAGGTTGTCCCAAAAGTTTCGTCCGTGACTTGCACTCTGATATTTTGTGTGGTATTGTTTATATAAATAGACAACTTAATTTCTTAGATGTTAATGTTGTAACATTAATGGAGTAAAATGAATGGTACACAATTCAAAAATGTAACATTAGACATAAAATATTGTGTATTTATTGCTGTTTAATGAAATAGAAGAAACTTTTGGGACAACCTAATAATTTGCACTCAATTATTTTGTGTGGCAGTGTTTATATAAATAGACAATCTAATTTCTTAGATATTGATGTTGTAATAGTAATGGAGCAAAATGAATCGTATACAATTCAATAATGTAACATTAGACATAAAATATTGTGTATGTTTTACTTTATTAATAAACTTTTACTAATAAACTTTTGGGACAACCTAATATATACGTTTGGTTATTTTTTTTTTTTTATACGGGTTTATTTTACGTTGTATCTACAGCATGGTAATTAACGACGAATTCGATTGGGTTTCTGGTTAATTAACGGTGCTCTATACTACTGTAGAGTTTGGTGTCCTTGAGGTAATTGATGGTATTTTGCACATGTTTCTGGGATATTAGTGCTGTTTCTGAGTTTAGGTTGTACTTTCTTTTTGTAGTTCGAATCTTCTGCATTCGTACAGTAAGTGGTCAATTGTAATTTCCTTGTTGCTTTGGTTATTTTATTAGGAATTAGAAGTTATATTCTCTTCTTATTTCCTCTCATAAATTAAGAATTTCAATCTAGAAATTACCGTTTATTTTGCGAAAAGTCAATTGATATCTCATCGTGAGATAGGTATACGTAAAATTCCAGTACTTTTAGTATTAATAAAACCTGATTAGATTTCATAAAAAGTTAATAAAATAGTTGATTTTTTAGGAAATTGAAAATATTAATTTTGTCCTTGGATTCGAAGTACTCCTCACAGACACTGAGAAATCTTTAGTTGACAATGAGAGAAAGTTCGAATGCTAAGGGATAAAATGCATACAATGGAGGTTTAGAGTTGAATGTTTTCATATTTTTAATAGATATGGCACATATTTCATATTCGAGCAATCTTATTTCGTTCATTCCAACTGAAATTGAAAGAAAGTCCGGAGATTCTTGGTTACCACACAATGAAATTATGTAAATTATTAATTTAACATAGTAATCTTGAAGACAGTTTCTTCAATACCAGTTGCACAGTTCGTAAGACATATTTATAGGATTTTCATAGTAGGTCTTTCCTTTTGATATGTACTTGTTCCTTTAGATGTTACAAATTTTTAACGTTTACTGTATTTAATAAATTTGGCTTTTATGAACCGAAGATGATTGACAATTAATATCACAGAACAGCAAACATATCCAGAACTTTATTATTTCTTTATGCAGGTCCATTAACTCATGTACTGTCCTTCCATATGTTCGTTAGAAACAATAATATCGATTTTTTTTTATTCTTTAACTTCTTCTGCCATTGGCTTCTTTTTATTGTGAACAGTGTATATAAAAAAGTTGTTAAGTGTAATTAATAAAAAGATTGAAAATTTAACGTAATAAAAATTCAGTTATTAGTATTTACGTAACGTTAATGCAAGGCTAAGGACATGCATATTTTTAAGACGAATGAAAAATACATTTTCTTAGAAACAATAACTTTACAATAACGTAATATTATTACGTTCACGAAGGCACATTCTCTGTATATTTAATTAAATATTAAAAATGAACTCTTTACTTAAAACTAAAGGCAAACACATATTTCAACAGCTGTGAAAATGTCAGAAGAACATTGTTAAAATGTGTTTTAATTAATGCACCGATGAAATAATACAAAGTGTATAATTATGACATAAGCGTCACCTGTATCAACAGTTATTTCACTTTTCGATTATTTTTCATTTACGATTACGACTTCTTGAAGTGATGTTGCTTTTGGATATATTCTTCATCGTTTTAACGACTGCAATAAATTATTCCATTATAGAATTCAATAAATTATATAATTATTCCATAATTAGAATTTCTGGTCTTATATGTGTTGAGTTCTTTTCAAGAACAGAGTTCAGCTAAAACTTATGTATTAACAATGTATATCATCAAAAATAAAATTGATTCTTGAAGATAGAAATGTACTTGTATGTTAAAATTAGTAGCATACTTATTTGAAATCGCTAAAACTATCATTTAGACAATTTTGGTTGAGCATGAAGGTATGTGTTCGTATGGTATTTAAATAACAAATTTTTTAATTCGACTCATACTTACTTGTAGAATTATTATTTAAACATTAATGTTCGAGAAGTTTAGATGATTATCGATATTTATATAATAATAATATAAATGAGCTAGAAACAAGATAAAAACTAGATTTTTTAAGTACTACCGTGTCACGTAACCTCATTGGCTCATGGTCAACCAGAATTGGTTAAATTACAGTTTTAAGTGTTTCAAGTTAGGACAGCATTAATTTAAACGTAGATACACAATTTAATACATTATACCTATTGCGAAAAATCAAATGGAATGTTGTTGTGATATATAAGAATGATATATAAAGGGCTTTTCAAAAGAAGCTTTCAGATATTGTTTTCTTAATAAAACACAAATGACATTGATTAGATAATTTTTTTATTTGAAATGCAAGTAATTAAACGTCAAAGATTATATTATTATTATTATTACTACCGGGGTGCCGAAACGTGAAAGAACATGTTTAAATATCCACCACGACTACGGTGGAGCATATTGTTATTTAAAAACAAAATCATAATGCCCCTCTCTTTATTTCTGAGTGAAATATGTCCTTAAAGAGCTGCATGGACTTGCTTGTATAGACTAATCTACAGATACAAATTTTGGACTAAACAAGCATGAGATTGTACATATTATTTTATATTGCGATTAAGGAGGTTTTCCTTTTTTCTGAGTCAAAAAATAGATTTTTGTTGGTAATATTTTTGTGCTTGAAGTCTTTACAATATATCTACCAAATAATATTGAAAATTTGTAAATTGTCAGAATTATAACTATACAGGGTAGTTGAAATAACTCGCTCATTTGCATTAGTTTCTGCATTGCATTTAGAAAAACTGTTGTATAAAAAATTGTACACAGTTATATACTTTTGTATACAAAATTTTTTGATAAATTGCATACCTTAGAAAGTAATGAGGATGAGCAAGTTATATGGATAACCTTGTATTAGGCTGATCAATCACGAAACTTCAAACGCTTGAAATATTGCATACATATAAAGACCTCATCTACCTATACCACGAACTAGGATATTTTTGAAATCTCTAAAATGACTATATTTGTTCAGGCCGCTAAAGTGACAAAAATTCGATAAAAAAAAAATTTTAAATTGAATATTGAAGTGTCGCTATTTTATCAATATTCTCAAAACTGGTCAGAAAGAAGAGTACCCCTTTAAGAAAAATGATTCGGAAGACTAGCTTGTTCACATTTGACATTTTGTCGGCATTCACCATTCCTCGCAAATCTCGTGGAACAGTGACGAAAGAATCGAGTGTATCGAACCTGGCAGCGGTAATTGCCAATCTCGCTAGCAAGGTGTATACTTGTTCCTTAGTAGATTGTTTATGAATCGACGCATTTGATTGCACTGTTCTATCCGTGCTTCACTGGGCACGTTCTTTTTCTCCACGATACATTGACTCGATTTCAAAGTTAATCACGGTTAGGTGTACACTTAATCGTACTAACGCAATACGGGTATGTACTCGTACGGTTTTTTTCTTCTCTGCGTTTCCTATTAGTTCGAAATTTATGCTTTGACGTAGGAAAAACGATTACAACACGTACAAGGTACCGAATAAAAATTGTTACATAATTTCTAATTCCGTTGATAAGGAAAATCTGTATCATTTATTTTCTTGGCGGTAAGAACAAGATATCTTTTGATAATTCTTGATGTTTTCGCTACATTTGATATACTTCTTAATGCAAGTATGTTAGAAAAATACAAGCGTCTTTTCCCTTCAACGGTTCTGGGGTAAGTGCCGTCTGTTCCTCACAGTCCTCTTACCAAAAGGCAATGACTTCCCCACTCCGAGGCCAGATCCTCTAGGACAACGTCTTTGTACTTTTAGGCAATGCAACGTCGGGTTGCTTGCCAATCGACACATCTGTTAGATATAAACAAACAGACCTTCGTCACTCGATACTTAGTGCCGAGGCATCATCTCTCGCCGGCCGACCGCCCATGGTGGTCCTAAGTCTGGTGGTCCAACGTCCACGTTCCTAAGGACGTTGACGTTAACAAGTATATGTATATTGAATACATCTAATTTGACAATGACGAACAATTAATTGGAAATGATGACCTAAATATTGAAATTAAAAGTATAAATAAGTATAACATAAAAATTAGAGGACCAAACATTTTATACGTGTATAATATGATTATCTATTGGGTTGTCTGGAAAGTCCATGCCGATTTTTAGTAGGCGGTACAGGTCTGAATGTATCGGAATGGTTGAAAACAAATAACTTGTGGACATCCCTTAAAAGGTGGAAAAATTGTGGAACAAAATGGTACATATATAATGCAATAAATATACAGGGTGTCCCAACAGTCGGGGAGGAGCCGGACATGGGGGGTAGCTGAGACGATTCTGAACAACAATTTCCTTTGCAAAAATGTCGGATAGGGCTTCGTCAGGAAGATATTAAGAGAAAACCCCGACCAATCAGAGCGCGCGTAGACCGTTCGAGCGGCCGCGGTAGCGAAGGCTACGCGCTAGGCGGCAGCGTCAATGTCCTTCGATGCACGTCGAGTCACTTGTTCGCGTACAAGCGCGGTCGCCAGCGCGTAGCCTTCGCTACCGCGGCCGC